TATGCAGTTTTTTACAGAATTAAAAAAAAATAAACAAACAAATGAATATCCGTTTAAAAGTTCAGAACAAATTGAATCTGAAGATCAAAAAAACACTAAATTCTATCTAAAATGAGCTAAATTACAAGTCTGCAAAGGTAGACATGTCAAGTGACAACCTGGCAAAGTTCGCAACTTGTTTTTTAAAAACAATTTGGCATTGTGGCAGGACCGTTAGAGTACTCAAAAAGGAGGCTTCTTTGTCCGCAAAAATTTTCACACCAAATTGGAAATGAATCCGCCCATACAATTTCTGAAGATGATAGACCTATATGAACTTCAGACAATTTGTATAACAAAAATATATCTTAGAAAGTGTGGATTCAAAAGATCATCTAAAAAGATAAAAAATAGAAAAAAAAAAAGTTGAAGAAGAATGTTGCAAATAACTTTTTATCTTCTTCATCACTTTGTCAAACACCAGAAAACTATTATTTTTATTTGGAATTAATTACACTTATATCAAACAATACCTGTGGAGAAAAAAAAAAGTGAGAAACAGAATCTGAGTAGATTACCATTCAACAATTTTTGCCGTAGAAGAAAAGCTGCAAAAGAATTTGTATAGAAAACAGTTTTAAACGTTATTCACTATCAAATGTTACCAAACTTTTTTGGCAATTTCCTCACTTACACACTCTCAGCTTTTTAAACGTCATCGTAATTATCTGACTGCTACAAATTCTTTATCTTGTTCACAGTTAGAAGCGCTTCAATAAATTACTTTAGTTTAATCTTTTAGACTTAATATTTGGTTTTTCGAGCAGGAAAAAGGGGGATGAGGCTAAGGTAACATTTCCTAACAAAACTTCGACTTTTTTGCTGGGAAACTTTGTTGAATAGACAGTTAGTTGTTAGGCAGACTTTCTGAACATACTGTGATCCAACAGTGAACGTCATCTCTTTAACCGTACAGGACAGTAAGCTTCTAATATACAACATCTATTACACAAGTTGCGATATATTAACACAATATCATTTTTGTATCATCTGTGCCGTAAAAATAGAAAATTTTCATTATTCTGTTCACTTATATGACTGAAACGAGTCATAGTCAACAAAAGTGTTTTAATTTTTTAGCTGAAAAAAGCTGCAAAATGAGAGTAAAATACAGGTCTTTCAATATTTCTGTACAACTTCTTGAACTGCAATGTTTTATAGTTAAAATAAATTGAACTATATAACATTGTATTTAGACAAAAGTAAAAGAACTTGCATTATAATAACAGCTACTTTTTTTGCCGTAATATTTAAAAATTTAAAAAGAATTTTTTAACGCTTATATGTAAACTTTTAAGAAAAAAAAGAGACAAGAAATACAAATAATTGTGAGGAAAAAAAAAACAAACTGTATAAAATTTTCAAAAAAACTTAGAACGCGTAAGTACAGTAAAAACTAGAATACAGAAAAAGTATATTTTTAATTTTTGAAATCAGTGAAAGTTTTGGTGGATTTTTGTAAAAATTAATTGAGAAATGAATATGCAAGAATGCACTAAATTTGATGTCGACAAGAAAATTTAATTCTAATTATTGTATCTCAAAATAAGCTGAGACAAGTTATCAAAAGTCTAGAAGTATATCGATGAAAGAAAACTGCGTATTTTGCAGTACAATGCTTTGTAGAAGAAATTTCAAACTGAAAGCAAATTGGCAGAAAAAGTGATAAAAATCTAAGATAATGAACTTCTAATATAGGTCAACAGATAGTTAAGATGTATCTATAGACAAAGTTTAGCGCGATCTTCTTTCCTCTTTTTTTTTCTTTTTTTTTAAACTTATGTATTGAATTTTTTGGAAACGTTGCTTACGAAACTTCGTCAACCATTAATTGACAACAGGATTCTTCAAAAAGTGTTTTCTTAAGTTTATCGTTATCTGAATGACTACTGCAAAATCATAACATCGACTTGATTGAGCGATTGATTGAACTGCATTATTTCAATAGCAAGACCCTTTGTAACCAAAAAACATCGTGATACATGAGATAGTCTTTGCTGTGATATGTTAGACTCTATAAACTGCTAACACTAAAAATGCTCTGATTACTGTTGACAGTCAGTGGACGATATGCTGACAACTCTAACTAATGTGGTAGTAATATTATGCAGAAATGTTAATGTTGGCAGTGCTGGTTACAGTTAATCATCTCTGTTTCCATTTATCAACATGGTTTTCGTTATAACTGTTAAACCGAAAAAATGGCTGACTGTGAAAATTTACGGTCAGATTCTGCTTATTTACATAAATAGATAATCTTCGCAGATACAGTGTGGTTCAAACGCCGACAACAACTTACGTTTTGTCTTTTTGACTTTTCTGTTAGCTTTTTTCCTATGTATCTGAAGGAAGCCGTTTGGCAGCAAGTAACAATGCTGTATTTGCACTGTAAAATGCTTGAATTTACTAAATGCACTAGCAGCACTCTCTACAGATCTTTTTTGTGAAGTTAAGAAATAAAGCGATATGTTCGGCAGTTTTCCGCAATTCTGCACATGTTTTAGTCCTCCTGAAACAAAAATTCCTGAAATCTCAGTTCACATTGCGTGAAGGCTTCTGAATCATAGCTACTCAGTGCCTGGTAAAAGAGACATTATTATCAGTTGAGATCTTAAGATCTTGAACAACTCACGTTTCGCCTATCCAGTGTTTACAATTATTATAACTTGAACAGCTAAGTGGATGATTCAGTTCAAGTACCTGATACTAGGGAAGGGTAATGATAACCACATTCGTTAAAGTTATAAACCTTTGCTAGGCCAGTATTCACGTCGACAGCATTTCGGCTATCTCTTAGAAGG